CGGGCCGCCAGCGGAAGGCCGCGTGTTCGCGGCGTCGGCAGCCGCGCGGGGCGCGCAGGGCATCGCTCCTCGAAGTCCTTCCCCTTTACGCGCTGGAGGGCCTTGCAGCGCCGGCCCATGGACTTCACCAGAGGAGTCAAGATGGCCTCGGGCACGCGCTGGAGAGCCCGCCTGAGGCGCGCCGCGAAATGGGCCCTGGCTTTCTTCTTACCAGGCGAGCACGAGGGCCTCCTGCTGCTTGCGGAGGCGGCGGTTGACGCAACCCCAGAAGCCGCAATTAAACGGGCTGATGTCTGGCGAGCGCCTCGGAAAAAGGCAGCGCCTCGATGGAGTTGTCGAACTTGGTCTGCGCTGCGCTCCTGCGCCCCGAAGGAGTCGCTGCCCCCCAGAACCGGGAAGCGCTTCTTGCTGGAGTACGCCCGGCGCAGCGCTGGCGACAAGGACTTCGAGTGCTGGGAACTGGGGCTGACGAGGTGCATGATTGTTAGATGCCGTGCACTTCGAGTCATAGAAAAGTCTGTGCTTCCATCGGTGGGACGACGAAATGTTGCAAGTTGCTCCTGGCCGCGTACGGCCGCGCCGACATTGCGACGCCACCTCGACAAAACGCCCCCGCCCCCTAAATTTCAATGTTGGCATCGAGCGAGCACCCCAAGTCCGGGAGGACAAAATAATGCAAGTCAACATTGAAATACGGGGGAAGGGGAGCTCCTCGGATATCGATGGAATATGATCAAAATTGTCATCTTGTTTCTCGGAACGATCATATAACTTGCGATATTTTGTCCGCCCACTGTAGCGCGTCCCCTTGGCACGTCCCGCGGTGCGTGCCCATGGCACGTCCCCTGGCACGTCGCCTGGCGTGTCCCTTGGGACGTTCCGCCGCGCGTCCTCCCGGCATGTCCCCCTGTCGATTAGTTCTGGGGCAGCTACCATCTGCTCAGGCAGCTCGAGCTCAAGATCCAGATCAGTTCGGTCAGGATTCGGATGTAAAGAGGACTCGATCCACAACGCTACATAGAGCACAATCGCGGCATGGCACATCGCAGTTCAGCACGGCCAGCACAGTGCAGCCGTCGGCACGGTACATCAAGATCGATACATTCAACATTGCATGTTGGCACGTTCCTTGGCGCGTTCCTTGGCGAGTCCACCTGGCACGTCGCGCGGCGCGTCCCCTGGCACGTCCCGCGGCACGTCCATTGGCACGTTCCGTAGCGCGTCCCCTTGGCACGTCCCGCGGTGCGTGCCCATGGTACGTCCCCTGGCACGTCGCCTGGCGCGTCCCTTGGGACGTTCCGCGGCGCGTCCTCCTGGCATGTCCCCTCTGTCGATTAGTTCTGGGGCAGCTACCATCTGCTCAGGCAGCTCGAGCTTAAGATCCAGATCAGTTCGGTCAGGACTCGGATGCCAGGGAGGACTCGATCCACAACGCTATATAGAGCACAATCGCGCATGGAACATCGCAGTTCAGCACGGCGTAGCACAGCACAGCCGTCGGCACGGTGCATCAAGATCGATACATTCAGCATTGCATTTGCCCGTCGCCCAATCAGGTGTCTCCGAAACGTTGCCATGCCTTACATTTCTATATTCCTTTCCGGGTTCGTGGGTCGATCATGCATTTCCCGGAAAGGGCGGGGGCCCAGGGTTCTCTTTTAGTGTGTTTACCCCCGGTTCTGACGGCTGTAGGGCCGGCGAAACTATTTTGCGATGAATAACGAGGTCGCGTAAGGGCCGGCAACATTATGCTTGAGGATGTCTCGAGCGAAACGCTTGTGTTTCAGAATTTGTTGAGGACGTCTCGAGCGAAACGCTTGTTTTGTGTTCTGGATTGTGTTCTAGATTGTCCTCTCCTGGGGACCTGAATTCAGAGGATCTGTCAAGTCAAATGCTTGTTTTCACGTGCCCAGGTCTTGAGGATGTCTCGACCGAGACGCTTCGAGGATGTCTCAAGCGAAACGCTTGTTTTACAGAACTCGAGCGGCCTGGGCGCCCCAGGATGCCCAGTTCTGGGAGTGGCCCTGGGAGGCGGACGCAGCGTAATTCACGAGGGAGCGCAGGCCTTGGCAGCACGGTACCTGGCATGTTTCGTGGCGCGTCACGTGGCGAGTCCCCCTGGTACGTCGCGCGGCGCGTCCCCTGGCGCGTCCCGTGGCACGTCCATTGGCACGTTCCGTAGCGCGTCCCCTCGGCACGTCCTGCAGTGTGTCCCCTGGCATGTCGCCTGGCGCGTCCTTGGGACGTTCCGTGGCGCGTGCCCCTGGCCTGCCCCTTTCTCATGTAGCTCTGGGGCAGCTACTATGTGCCCAGGCAGCTCGAGCTTAAGATCAAGATCAGTTCGGTCAGGACTCGGATGCAAAGGAGGACCCTACAACGCTATAGATCACAATCGCGGCATGGCATTTCGCAATTCAGCACAGCGCAGCGCAGCACAGCCCTTGGCACCGAACACCAAGATCGATACACTCAGCATTGCAACCTGGCGCGTCCCGTGGCGAGTCCCCCTGGCACGTCGCGCGGCGCGTCCCCTGGCACGTCCCGCGGCACGTCCATTGGCACGTTCCGTAGCGCATCCCTTTGGCACGTCCTGCGGTGCGTCCCTATGGCACGTCCTCTGGCACGTCGCTTGGCGCGTCCTTGGGGACGTTCCGTAGCGCGTCCCCCTGGCCTGTCCTTTTGTCAAGTAGCTCTGGGGCAGCTACTGTGTGCTCAGGCAGCTCGAGCTTAAGATCAATATCAGTTCGGTCAGGACTCGGATGCCACTGAGGACTCGATCCACAACGCTATAGAGCTCACTCGTGGCATGGCATATCGCAATTCAGCACGGCGCAGCACAGCACAGCTCTTGGGACGGTACGTCAAGATCGATGCACTCAGCATTGCAGTTGCCCGTCGCCCAATCAGGTGTCTTGAAAACGTTGCCATGCCTTACATTTCTATATTCCTTTCCGGGTTCGTGGGTCGATCATGTTTTTTGGTTTCGCTCTCTCTGTCTTCAGGAGCCGTCTTCGGGCCCTGGGGCTGTCAAACACGGATCGGGAGTGAAGAGGGTGAAAAGCTGGCCCAGGTGGACCCGGGAGGGGTCCGAGGACATATTTTGAGCGGATTTGCCTTTGTCCTCCTCTTGTTGATCAATTTTCTCGTGGCCCATCCAGTTCAGACCCCCAGCCGCCTCCAGGCGGCGACAACACCGTGTGGTGAGTCGGTGGGGATTCGGGGTGAACGCACGGTTTTGGGCCGTGCGGCGGCGGACTATGCGGTGAGGTATGTGTGGATCTCGAGGCCACACGACTGATGGACAAAATTCTTCACCCTGTATGCTAGTTTCTGTGCACAGCCCCCGCACCCCCCATTTGATGTTGGCGGGCTGCGCCGCGATGTGTCGATCTGCCGACTGGCCGACGTCCTGCGCCCCGCTGGCGATGCCGACCAACACTGCATCGGGGCCAGGGGGGCGCGCTGAAGTTTGGTCGCGCGGCAGGTGCAGGAGTTGGTCCATCAAGTGCGGGAGCCGGAGGTTGAGCCTTAACTTTCCTAGTAGGGGTCCTCGCAAAGGGGCCTCCGAGACCCCCTCCTCTCATCTCCCCAATTCTCTTGTCAACTCACTCTCTTTTCTCCCTCCACTCGGAGCGTTGCTGTTGACGCAGATGCTCTTGAGCCATGTTTTAGATGACGAGCCGCGCCACGCGCTTGATGGCACCAAGCGCAGCGCAGGCTGCCATCGCGCTGTTTGGGGACCCCCCGCGTGCGAGCGCCTCCGCCGCCCTCGCGGCCGCCCTGCCGGCGCGGGGCGCGCGGCCCGCGCGCGGGCGGCGCGCCCGCCGCGCGCCCCGCGGCCGGGCGGGGCGCGGGGCCCGGAGGCCGTCGCTGGCGGCCGTCGAGGGCGTCGTGTCGGAGGCCGAGCTTTAAGTCGGGCCTGGCTCTCTAGAGGAGGACAATTCAAGAATAGTCCAAGCATAGTCTGGGGACTCGTTTTTTGAGCATTCTTAGAACCATTTTGGATTATTGGTTGCGTATTCTTGGCTGTTCGTCGAAAATCCCCCTGTGGGGGTACACGCCCGACTTAAGCCGAGCTCGCCGCCCTGGAGCGCCTGGAGGCACTGGGCGCGGGCGGCGCGCCGCCGCCCGGCGGCGCCCGCGGCGGGGCCCCCGTCGGCGCGCCGGGGGCTCTGGCGGAGCGGCTGTCCCGGGCCCACGCCGCGCTCACCGACGGGCTGCAGGAGCGCTCGCGGGAGGCGTGGCTGCTGCTGCTCGCCGCGCTGGGCGGCGAGCACGTGCTGCTCGTGGGCCCCCCGGGCACCGCCAAGAGCCTCCTGGCGAGACGGCTGGCGACGGTCTGCGGGGGATCCTACTTTGAGCGGCTGATGACGAGCTTCACGGTCCCGGAGGAGATCTTCGGCCCCCTCTCGCTGAAGGCGCTGGAGGGGGACGAGGTTTCGCGGAAGGTGGGCGGTTTCCTGCCCAGCGCTGAGGTCGCATTTCTGGACGAGGTGTTCAAGGCGAGCTCTTCGATTTTGAACGCCCTGCTGACCATCCTTAACGAGCGCGAGTTCGACAACGGAGGTCGCCGAATGAGGGTGCCTCTTCTGACCGCCGTGGCCGCCTCGAACGAGCTCCCCGAGGGCGACGACCTGCAGGCTGTCTGTGACCGCTTCCTCCTGCGGCGATCCCGTTGAAGGAAGAAACTGTGCAGCAAACGTTTAGGAGCTTCGCATGGTTCCCCTTTTCCGCCCACTGGCCTTAACATTGAACAAGCGTTCCCTGAGAAACGGGACCACAATAATCTTGAACCCAGCATCTCGAACGCAAGATCTGCCCATGCTCAGGCCAGGGGGTGGAGGGCGGAATTCTTGTCCAGTCTAGTTCGGGCGCAGCTGTTGCACCGCTTTGTCCTTCCACCGTCGGTCCATCCCGTCTCCGACGGCGGCGTCGTGGGCCTCCTGCGGAAGGCCCTGGACGCCCCCCGGGCGCTCCCCGGCGCTCCCAGACGCTCCCAGGCGCTGCGAGGCGAGCCCCGCCCGCTGGGCGGTCCAGCGCTGCTCTCGGCGGCGGACGCGGCGGCGGCGCAGCGGGGGGCCCGCGCGCACGTGCGCTTCCCGCGGCGGCTGCTGGCGGTGGTGGCCGAGCTGCGCGCCTTCCTGCGGGCCGGCGCGCAGCCGCCGTTCCTGGCGTCGGACAGGCGGCCCGCCACGGGGCGAACGGGTCCTGAGGAGAACGGGCCCCTCGGGTGTTTCTCCGTTTTGGGTCGCCTCGGGCCCTCCACGGGCCCCGGGGCCGTCAGGAAACGACTCGACTCAGGATGAGGACCTGGTCCCTGGGAAAGGCCCCCAGGATCTTGGACCCGTTTCTCACGGTGCCCGCTGCCTTCATGCTGAAATGGCCTTTCGCTGGAGTGTCTTTTGGTGAGGGCACACATGGGTCTCCCCAGCATTGGCCCGCGCGCTTGGGTTTGGCCTCCCCGAGGCCGCTCAAAGTTGTGCACCAAACTCCCCGAGGCCGCTCAAAGTTGTGCACCAAAGGTCACTCTTGCCTAGGGTCACTCCTGCGCGTGGCCGAAGGCGGCTCGCCAGGGCCGTGCGCCTGCTGCGCGTCGCCGCTTTCGCCGAGGGCAGCGACAGCGTCGGGGAGCTGCACTTGTTGCTGCTGCAGCACATGCTGTGGGCGACTTAGCTGCCCTGATGCGCCCGTGCTGAAACGCAGCACGTGCCGTGTTCAACACGTCTCTCACGCAGGTGTTCGCCCACGTTTTGTCGACCGGGTCGCGCCGTGCACGCGTTGGGCTCCGTGTCAACGCGCTGCGGGCTGCGCGTTGCGCATCGGGGCAGCCAAGGTGGGGGCAGCACCCGTCGCTCTGCGGCGAGGTCCGCGCCTGGCTGCTCGCTCGCCTCGCGCGGGGCGCGGGCGGCGGCGGGCCTGCCACAGCGCCCGAGCTGCAGCTGCTCGTGGACGGCGCGCGCGGGCGGCTTGCCAGCCGCGGGGCGGTGGCCGGCGCCCTGGCCGACCTCTCGGGGCTGCGGGCGTCGCTGGAGAGGCAGCTGGTGGCGCGGCTGGGGCTGCGGGGGCGGCTGCGCCCGCGGCTCGAGGCTGCCAGCGGAGGCCTTTGGCTCACGGGGCCCGAGCTCGAGGAGGCGCGCTCGGCGATGCTGCCTCGGCTCGACGCCAGCGTCGCCGAGGCCGAGAGGCTGCTGCAGCAGGTGCTCGAGCTCGAGGCCGTGGCCAAGGTCGAAGACGACGCGCTGCGGCGTGGCTGCCTGGAGATGGAGGCCCTGAAATTTGGCCGCTCGAGCGGCGATGGCTTCGGCGCGGCGTCCCCGTGGCGGCGTTAGTCATGAGACATTGGACCGTCTCGCAACAAAAAAAATGAGATACACGGACGCCACAAGTTGAGGGCTCATCTCGACGCCGCCGCGGGCCCTGCTCCACTGTGATTTCGCCTTGTTGTTTCAACGGCCGTGGCCGACATGAAGATATCCTGGCAGTTTCTGCGTTTCCGGATCCTGTTTCGAATGGCGTCTTGCGGTGTCCGCATGGCCCGACGATGGTTTATTATTCGTATGTTTCTTCTTATTATTCTTCTTCTTCTGCTTCGGGTTAGTTGTTTTCGTTGTTTCGGGCTGAGCTGTCTGGACGCTTTGCGGATCTCCTCAGTAGAGGATTGGATATAGTTCAAGTAAGTCATCTTCCCCTTCTTGTGTGTTGACACGGGCCAGAGGCCAGTTCGGGCAGTTTCGGGGACGAGAGGTCCATTCGAGTCTGTTTGAGAAGTCATTCACTGCACCCGATGTGGAAAATAAGTGTCACAGCAAGCTGAGTCTGGCCACACGTTGGGGGTGGGGGAAGGCGAACCCAGTTCTTGAACCCTTTGCCTACCCCGTTTCTTGTGGCCCTTCTGGCTCCGTCCAAAATTCGCTCAAGCTCCCTCCGCACCCTCCCCGCTTGGCGGGAGACTCGACAAATGTTTCGAATTCAGTGGGGACGAGAGTTCCGCTCGAGTCTAGTTGAGAAGTCATTCGCTGCACCCGTCCAAAGAGATAAGCTCTGATGTGGAAAAGAAGCGCCGCAGCTGGTTGAATAGTTTGTCAGGCCACACGTCGTGGGCAGGAGAAGGCTCATCATCGTCATCATCATCATCATCATCATCATCATCATCATCATCATCATCATCGTCATCATCATCGTCATCATCATCACCAGCATCACCAGCAGCAGCAGCAACAGCATCACTATCACGTAACATCACCACCACCATCATCATCACCGTCATCATCGCCTCATCATCATTCCCCCCTGTCCGCCTCACCCTCCCTCTGCACGGCCCATAGCGCTGCGCTCGCGTGTCTTCCGTCGTCAAACGGAGGACTTACCTACTCGCGTCTCTATTCTCGATTATCTCTTTCGCCCCGGTATCTCCTAAAAAGGTGACGGCATCCTGGCCGGATTACCGTTCGACGTGACGTATTTGGACAATCCCGTGGTGTCGAAGGCTCGTGCTTATCATGTTGAGTACCCCGTTTATCGCATCTGCAGCCCTGGCCTTTCACTGCCGCTGTACATGACACATCCTACTGCTCATGTGGGAGGCGGAATGTGGGCATCGGCGATCGAATTCCTGACTCGATCGCCCATTGGATCGTTAAGGCCGCTCATTCGGTCGCGGACCTTCCTCATGGAGGCTTGTTGAGACGTAGATGTGTAGTAGCAACGTAAGGAGGATCCATTCTTCGGCGACGCTCTATCTCCTCGTCTTGCTGCTATTGTACTTCTACCCCAAATCACCCCTGCAATGCCCACACTCTGTAGCAATTTCGGCTCAAGGCCAGTGAGGTCGCCGCCGGGGATTACCTGGAGTGGACCCCATCCTATGTGGATGGAAGTTTGTCATTTTTCTTTGGGATACCGTCCCGCCTGCCAGCAGTTGTCATTATCATGCCTGGCAAGCGCTGTCAAGCCACTTCTGGTGCTCGACGGTTTGACCACGATTACCGGCACCGCACTTCGCATGCCTGCCCGCAGTTATAGGCGTTGCTATCGATGTACATGGGTTCGTGCTTGGAACCTCCGACTTGATATACATTCGGAGGCGGAAAAGAGGGGAGTGATGACTAGGGGGGGGGTGGATATCATGGCGGGGGCCATGATATTCCCCCAGATTTCATGGTGCCTCGTCTTATTTCATTACGTCCCTGGCCCCCCCGCTGGGCCGCGCACATGCCGCCGGTCATGATTGGCACCCCCCCTCTTGGACACCCCCCTCTTGGCCGCTCCCGATACATGGTCGGCTTGCCAGCCCATTGACCACGTGAGGAGCGTTCAGGATCGAGCTGCCACACATGATCCGCTCCCCAGAGCCAGCCTGGTGCGATGCGAGTGCTCCCCATGCCGCACCCACCCCTCCTGCTACATGTTTGCGATGCTTGGTCTCGATTGCGTTTGCTGAGATTGCTGGCTGTGATTTTCCCTAGCGCGAGCAGGGGACACGGCCTGACTCCAGATCCGCCGTCCTCTGGTTGGTTTTCCGAGTCGAAATTGCGCTGGAAATTAACCCAGGACGATGAGAAAAAGTAGGGCGGAACGTTCCGTCTCGGAAGCGAAGGGCGGGTAGGTCCGCAAAAGTATGGCGGAAACAGCGACGACAAAGAAGGGCGGAAATCGGCATCAAAGGAGCTTGAAAGGTCGGGCGGAAATTCCCGCCCTACTTGCGAAATCGCCCACATTACGGCGGATCGGGAGCTGGGGCGCAAGCGGAGAAGGGGCGGCTCACGCGGCCGCGCTTGCAGGCTGGGGGGCTGATCGGAAGTGGGCCCGACATCATCAGTCGACGTGCTCGGCCTGCTCGCAGTGGCCTGCAGCTCGCGCTCGAGCTTAACGGGGCGCGCTCCAAGGGCGATCGTCTTCGCTGCCCGGCGTCGGACAAAAATTCGTTGTGTATATCGGTCGAGAGGTCAATCTTAGTCAGGACAAAGGGTTACAGAAAACGATCGGCGCACATGGCGCAGGGATTTGAACGATTGATTGCAGAGCCGCTGGCGTCATGAGCCGCCCACACCTCAAGCGTCGCAGTCGGGCGACTGATGCGTGTCCTCGTGGGTACGATCTGGCAGGTCATCTTGGAGGCCACCCGCATGGAGCGTATGTTTACGAGGGCGACGAAATAGACCAGGAGACAGCGAGTGTTCATCAAAACTGTGGCCCGAGGATGAGAAAGAAAACCAGTAGGAGGCGGACCCAGGACGTCGACACTTTCCCCCTGGATCTCTCCACTTCTTCCCGGGGGCAATGTTTCCCCATGTCCTCAGTATGGGGTTCTCGTTATTATTGGGACGCCTCCGCCTCCTCACCCGCACCCTTCCCCTCCTCTATCTTCTTTCCAACTCAAACTCAGACTCACTTACATTCAGACTTGCTTACACTCACACTCGCACTCACACTCAGACTCACTCGTACTCAGACTCACAATCAGGCTCACTCATACTCAGATGCACTCATACCCAGATACACCCATACTCAGATACACTCACACGCAGATTCACTTCCCACACCCAGACTCATAGACACTCAGAGTCACTCACACTCAGACTCACTCACACAGACCACTCACACTCAGCCTCGCCTCGCACTCAACTTGTGAGGATGTCTCGAGCGAGGCGCTGGTTTCAGCACCCCAAGGGGGAGCCGCCAGGGGGCATATCACAGTCCCAGTCGCGCCCAGATTGCAGGGATGCCTCAGGCAGTTTGCTTGTTTGGTGGCTTGGAGGTCGGTGATTTCAGAGCAGACTGTGAGGATGTCTCGAGCGAGGCGCTGGTCTCAGCGCCCCATGAGGGAGCCACCAGGGGGATTTCACGGGACCGTTCGCGCCCAGATTGCGGGGATGTTTGGGGCAGTTTGTCTGTTTTGTGGCTTGGACTTCGGTGCTGTCAGGACAGACGGTGAGGATGTCTCGAGCGAGCTGCTGGTTCCAGCACCCCTCGACCGCCATGGCACCTGTCCCGTTTTAGGGCAGGTGACCACCTGGGCCAGGCGTGTGGAAACGTCTCCGGCAGCCCGTCCTTCCTTCCTCCCTCCCTCCTCCCTCCCTCCTCCCTCCCTCTCTCCGCTCCTCCCTCCCTCTTCCCCCCTCCCTCTCCACTTTCATCCTCCTCCTCCCTCTCTCCCTCCTTCCCCCCAGCTTCGCGGACCCCTCTCACCTTCTTCTGCTGCGAGGAATGTGATGCGGTGTGATGTGTGGACGAGCAGATGGGGGGAATGGGTGGATGATGATCGCAGTATTGGTGCTGATCGTATGATGGCACACATTTTGTCCAGCTGTACCCCGTTCGTCTCACCCGTTCGGTTTCGGCTTCCTCGCTCCTCTTCCCGTTGCGTCCCAGGGCGTCCTCGGACGATCATCGGCGGAGACCACAGCCCCCAAACAAAAATCCTTCCCTCCCTCTCTTCTATGGGAACGAACAGTGACGTAAACATACAAACTCTGAGGTCCGCGCGGATTTCTTGGATCGGCGCTGAACCCCCCTTCCTGGCGCCTCGGAGCGCGCCAGGGGCGGCGCCGGAGGCGCCGCTGGGGGGGGGTCCAGCGCCGATCCGAGAAATTCGCGCGGTCCCTCGAGTTGTTTTGTTTATGCCATTCTTCGTTCCCCTATCCTCCTCCCGCCCTCCGTCCCTCCCTCCTCCTCACCATTACCTCTCCGTCCTCCTCCCTACCTCCTCCCCTCCTCCGGCCTCCGTCCCTCCCTCCCTCCTCCCCCTCCGTCCTGGCCCTCTCTGGCCGGCCCTCGCCTCCGGGCGCGGGCGTGGGGCACCCGAGGGCGTGCGTGCTTCCGGCCAGGTGGTCCGCGGTGTCAGCGGCGGCTTCTCCACCGTGGCGGTGCACTCCACCGCGGAGTTCGCCCGCCAGCACATCAACACGCACGGCCCCGCGCAGGAGGAGAGGGGGAAGTGATGGGCCAAGTTTCCACCACCACTGCTATATGTAGGACGGGGGGCAGAAGGGAGGATGGGGAGGTCCTCCTCCTCCTCCTCCTCCTCCTTCTCCGCCTCCCTCTCCATGGTGGTGGTGGTGGTGGAAAATCGGCCCATCAGAAAGGGGGCCCAGTTCTCCCACGGCGAGACCTTTTCCGCTGGCGGCGTCTCCTCGATGTCGGCCCTCGGGGACCACTGCTGGGGCCCGGGGCCATCAAAAACGAAACTCGGGGGGGGGGGGGGGGAGCTGGTCCCCGGGAAGCGGTCGGACCTATGCGGCACGCGCAGGAGGCGAGGGACGCAGGAGCGCGCCTGGGGAGAAGGCAGGGGGGGGGGCCCTTCTCAGAGGGCGGCGGGGCGTTTCAGAAGCCTGCACGCCCTCTGAGAAGCCCTCTGCGGCTTCGGGAGAAGGCATAAACGGCTGCTCAGAAGGCCCGAGGGCTTCTGAGCAGGTCCCCGCCTGCTGAGAGGGCCGTCCCCACGGTGCCTTCCCACCTCGGCGCGCCGACGAATGATGGGGGCGGGCGGAGCAGAAGGACAAGGAGCAGCAGAAGGGGGGCGAGGAGGGGGGGAAGAGGGTGGAGGAGGAGAGCGAGTGGGAGGCGGCTTTCGGACCAAGGGGTGGGATGCGGAGGAGGAGAAGGAAGGGGGAAGGAGGAAGAGGGAAGGATTGTGGCAGCATCTAGTCATCGATGTGGATCGCCCTGGTCTCGTCTCCCGTTGCGGCTTCTCCCATCGGCGCAGTGCATCATCATTCCCAGCCCTCCTGTGTTGTTTGGGCCTCGGCTCGAATTCGCAGCGCCACGCTCCGCCTTCCTTTCTCCTCCCCCTCCTCGTACTCCTCCTGCTGCGGCTGCGCTCCGCGTGTAAATTTCGGCACACCCCTCAAGTGGATCGTGCCCCACGGACGGCTCCACCTGCGGCCCCAAAGAGACTGTGCTCGCATAGGGTCGCCCCGCCCATTTCGACACACCCCTCATACGGATCGCGCCCCACAGGGAGGGAGCTCCGCCCACGGCCCCAGAGTCTGCGTTCGCATAGCGTCCCCGCGCCCATGCCGTCACACGTTTCACGGGGGTTGTGCCCCACGGGGAGCTCCACATCCGGCATCGTTGGGCGCGGTCGTGTGGAGTGCTCCACCCAATTCGGCACACCCCTCGCGCGTATCGTGCCCCGTCGGGAGGTCAGCGCGCCTTTTCGCGCTTGCTCCGCAGCCCTCTATCCGCACTGCCTCGCGCGCCCTGGCTTTCGAGGGATCAGGTTGCGAGGCGGGGTGGGGCGAAGGCCAGGGACGGGCCAGGGGAGGGGGGGGCGAACGAGTGCTACGACAAACTCATGGAACCCGAAGCCCAGATAGCGGGGCGCCAGAAGGCCCGTCAACGGGTTCTGAAAGGAGCCCTGAAAGCTTTCGGAATGGGCCAGGGGATGGGGGGACGAATGCCCACCACGACTAACAGCAAGGGGCCCCGAGTTCCAGAGCACAGCTGCGCACGAGACTGAAGGCTCCGGGGGCTGGGGCGAGGCCCAGGGGGGGCCAGGGGCAGAGGCTCCGGGGGGCCAGGGGCAGGGAGAGAGGGCCGGGGCGAGGCTCCAGGGCCAGGGGCCCGCCGACCACGGCCACGGCCACGGCTCCGGGAGAGCACGACTCCTGAGCCGCCGTGCTCTTTGGACGATTCCGCAAGTACGGCGAAAATTTGCCTATTGTTCAAGCTCCTTGGGTGCGGGTGTCCGCCCTACGGTGCCGTCGCTGTTTCCGCAACGCATTTGCGGAAATGACCGCCGCATTGTGCTGAGGCGGAAAAAATGTCCGCTGTATTTGTTCGTGTCGTTTGGGGTGCATTTGCGACACAGTTCGAGGTTGGGAAATCAACGAAACCACGGCGGATTTGGAGCCAGGGCAGGCCCATCGCCTGCGGCTCTTTGCCGACGCAAGGCCCGGGGTCTGGCGACGCGACGCGCACCCCACTTGTTCGCATCGTTTGGTGTGGATGTCCCATACAATTCTTCAGTCGGAAAATCGACCAAAAGTATGGCGGATCTGGAATCAGGGTGATGCTCGCTTGTGGGCGCTTCTGGCCGTAGCGCCTGGGCAACGAAACATTACAACACCTCTGCATTCTGTGGACGTGTGCCTCCAAGGGTGGCGCAGAGTCACCCCTGACGCCTGATCCGCCGTAGTCTGGTTGATTTTCCGACCTGATAGTGTGTCGAAAATGCACCCCAAACGACGCGAGAAAGTGGAGCGGAATTTTCCGCTTCAAAGTCGCATCAGCCAACATATGGCGCATCTGGAGACACCCGTGGCGTCGGCAACCGCCTGCAAGCACGAGGCGGAGCAGGGCAGCCTCGAGCTCGCTGCACTGGGGCCACGGGCGGCTAGACGCTCGAGATGGCCGTGGACGCTGCCGCTCCTCCGACCAAAAAATAGATCGGGAACGCATCCAAAACGATACGGGAAAGCAGGGCGGAGATGTCCGCCTCGGAGCGGTGGGGCGGATATCTCCGCAGCGGTATGGCGGAAGCAGCGGCGGCTAAGCAGGCCGGAAGTTGGCATCCAAGGAGCTTGAGAAGCAGGGCGGAGCTCTTCTCCGCGCTACCCACGACATCGCCCAGAGGGGACCGCGGAGCCAGAGTCGGGCTGCCATTCCTCTCCGCCCCCCTTGCTCGACAGCACGGGGAGCCCCCCCCTCGCCCCGCCAGGCTCCACGGGCACCGTGGCGCGGGTGGCCGCGCCGGGCGCGCAGTCCCGCACGGGGCTGCCAGAGAGCGTGGTGCTGGACCCGCCGCGGGGCCCTCGGGCCGAGGTGCGGCACCAGACCGCAGGTCGACTAGACGTAAGAGTGACCTTTCGCCGGAGGGACCTTTGGTGCGGGCACAGATGGGTCCCCAGACGGCCGAAAACGAAGCAGGAGCAGCGGCTTGCGCGCCCAGGTTTGGTCCCCCCGCGGCCCACAAAAAGCCGCGCACCAAAGGTCGCTCTTGCCCAGGGTCACTCTTGCGTGTAGCCGAGCAGGGCTCATGCTCGGATCTCCGACGACATGCCCAGACCTCCAGCGCGTTGAACAGAAACAATGTACGGATGTTTTCCGCAATTCGGCCTCTGGAGGCATTCGCCAGGCCCCGGGGCTGTGAAAAAGCCACTCCGGACGGAAAGCTGTTCCTGGGGAGGGGGGGTCGGGAGTTTCGGGGACACCCCGTGGAAAAACAAGACGTCGGATGTGTGGGTGATTTGTTCGATCCGACGGTTTTTCCTCGACGTCGGCTTCAGGGGCCCGTTCTTGGGCCCCCGGGTAATCAAAAAGGGACTGGGAGCGAAAAATGATTCTTGGAGCCGAGGTCGGCACCTTTCGGGGCCGCACATTGAAACAACAACTCATCCCTGGATGTCTGACTGTCGATCAACATCGTGCCTCCCAGGTGCGTCGGGAATCGACAGCACCGCTGGCCGAAATTTCGCTCGACTTCACAGTATTGGGGATGCTGCATGATGCTGCGATCGTCGTTTTGGGCCCACGCGCCGACTTCGGCCAGATCTGCGGCCCCGTGGGGGCGGATCGTCGCGAGCGCTCGCTGAAGTTCTGCTGGGCTTCACCACGCTGGGGAGCTGTGGTCGGCGGTTGGAGGCTGCGCGCCGACTTCGGCCAGCTCCGGGGCCGAGGCTCCCGAGCGGCCCCAAACCCTCGTGCCACCCGTCCTCGCCGCTGCGAGCAGCGCCGACGTCGTGAACTCCTGCGTGCACGCCCACGAAGAGTCGAGTCTGCGGACGCAGACTCGTGCACGACATGTGAAGCATGTCTTGAACCTCGTGGGGCGTCCTCGTCGCCATGGCCGGGATTCCCCACGGAGTTGTCGCCAGAACGCACTCCCAGTATCGGTCAGGGGGCCGAGTTGTCCAGGGTCGCCACGAAGAGAACAGGTGCGAGGGACAGGGGCCTTCCTCCTCCTACTCCTCCTCCTCCTCATCATCATCCTCCTCCTCCTCCTCCTCCTCCTCCTCCTCCTCCTCCTCCTCCTTCCGTAGCCATTTTGGCTCAAGGCTAAACGTTGTGAAGGGCTATAGACGCCCGAGAATCAGCGATTAGCCTTAGCCCATCCGTAGCGAGGTCCAAATCGCTTTGGGGCAGAGGGCCCCACATTTTCGGCACCAGGCAGGCCCTGCCTGGGAGGCGGGCAGTTCTCCCAGTCCTCATTGCAGCTCTCGCCAAGGCATGGGAGTCCAGCAGCAGCGCCGCTCTCGCTCTGGCGCCCGCAGTCCGTCTCGGCAGCAGCGGCGGGACCCTATGCACGAGGACGACCCCTGGAGAGCGAGCAGACCTACTGGCGCGGCCTCATCCGCGCATTCCAGTGGACAGCCCGCCTCCAGCAGCTACTTGCAGCGCAATGACCTGGACGCCGCCGAGCACCGCATCCAGCAGACCCTCAAGACCCAGATGGAGGAGGTCACTAAGGCGCTGCAGTCCACGGTCTCCAGCAGCTACAGTGACATCAGCAGGGAGATCGCGTCACAGTTCGAACCGCACGTCCAGCGCATCGACCAGCACTCGAAAGACATTGCCCGCCTCACAGCCTCATCGGCGCACCTCGAAGCGTCGAACCAGCAGATGGCGACCCAGATCCGCGAGATGCAGGCCACCCTGGCGCAAGTCGACTCCCGGGGACGCAGTGAGGGGCCTGATATGCTCCGCCTGGCTGATTGGGACCGCCCTGCCGACCCCCAACTGTTTGTCCTCAACTGCCACAAGGACTGTACACCAGCAGCCATCATCGACGCGTTGGTTCCGTGGATGGAGGCGGCCAAGGTCACGACCGAGCAAGTCAATGTCAATGAGAAGGAACCCTCCAAGCGCTTCCACGTTTACGTTCCCGGTGCTGCGGACGGCCGTGCTCGAGCCCTCTCGCTTGCCAAGCACCTCAAGTGCGACGCTGGCCGCTGGCGAGTATTCATGGTACGCACAGTGGAAGGCTCGGAGGAGAAGCTCTACGTCAACCCAGACAAGAACCCGCGGGCCATCCGTCAGGAGGTCCAGACGAAGAAGCTTCTTGCACTCTGCAAGGCCGCAGTTCCAGGCGACTGGTGGATGCAACGGACTGCTGGCATCATCCACTTCGGCACTACCCCTGTCGCGGAGGTCCAGCCACAAGGTCCTGATCAGCCATCCCAACTCGCATGCAGCCCCGCAGCCAAAAACGACTTCAACCTGGACACCACGGCCATCGCGGACCAGTTCAAGGCTCTCTTCCGCGCGGTCGACACATCCTCCTAGTCTTCTTCCTAGCCCCCGCTGGACCCCCTGGTTACGGCCAGGCGACGTTTCCGCGTGCCGCATCGTCTCGTGGAACGCACGCGGCCTGCTGCGCCGCAACTTGACCCACCGCAACGCTAAGATCTACAAGCTCTTTGAATTGATGAAACACAGAGCTGCCATCGTTTTGCAGGAAGTACACGGTCATGGCATGACCTTTCAGAATCTGATCAATCGCTCACCCTTCAACTACAAGGTCTACTTCAGTGGCACGGGCACAACGGGTGCTGGTGGCGCTGCCACGCTCCTTCCCGTCCCAGACGGCGAAGGACCCCAGCAAGAAGATCTTCCAGTGGTGGTTCATCGTGTCCTCGTCAAAGGACGCGCTCAACTCTTGCTCATCAAGAACGCCAACCTTCGGACAGAGGTTCGCATATGCAACATCCACAACTATGACCTGAGCGTATCTGATCGGCGCCAGATTCGCACATGTTGGCTTGAGAACAACAGATGGGCGCACACCAAGCCCATGCACAATCTCTTCGCGATGCTGGGTGATTTCAATTTCAGCGACAACCCGAACGAGAGCCTCCTTCGCCCGCAGGCGAGGGGCACCCGGAGGTCGGATGCTGGACGAGCCAATCAAGCTGAGCCCTTCTGGAGGCAGCTCATCTCTTCTTCTGACAAAATGACGGAAGTAGTCACGCCAGTCCCCGCGCACTTCGACCGCCACACGAACCAGATGACCTACATCGACAGAATCTTCATATCTACGCCGCCACAGTTTGCAAAGGAGATGCAGATTGTAGTGAACCTGAGATACGACGCACAGGAGCTGGCCCTCTGGAAGGTCAGTGACCATGCCATGGTGGAGCTCAAGATCGAGCCGCGTCTTGAGTCCCCGAAGGCCCACCAGAACATCCCTGCATTCATCTTTGGCACCGACGGCTACAAGGAACAGCTGACCACCTGCTTGGGCGCCTGCGACCTCGACAGCATGTCTGACAGGGAGACGTGGGGGCGCGTCAAGCGCCAGATGATTACCGCTGCGGAGGGCGCGCGCAACCTGCTGATGCGCATGCCGATTGGCGACAACACCTCGGACGACGTAGAGGCCAGGTGCATGGCTACGAGGGCAATTGCTCGCGCTGTCTGGAGACAGGATCGCCGGCTGGGGAAGCGCCTGATCGAGCGCACTGCTGCTGGCGCGGCCCACCTGCCCCTGGAAGGCGAGACCGTCTCGCCGCGGGGCCCTGCGCGCCTCGAGGCGGAGGTCCCGGCGCTCAATGAGGCCCGCAGTGAGCAAGCTCTCGCCCGCGCTCGTAATCGTGAGGAGCTTCAAGGGCATCCGAGCAATGTTGGACGGGCCAAGCAGGCCCTTTTTCGGCGTGCTCTTTTGTGGAAGCCCCAGGGACGTCGGATGGTTCTCCAGGGAATTCAACATGCCCAGGAGGGCCACGGAGACATCGTGCTCCGCGGCGGTCAAAACATCTCGGATGCAATTCGGGCCCAATGGGAGCCGGCGTTTCAAGAACGCGTCGAGGACACCCCGCTGCAAGATGCGTTCATCGAAGCCCACCCCCCCCCCCCCCCCCCCGAGACTGCTGACCTTCCTCTCCCTTCCCCTGAGGACCTTCGATGGGCTCTGAAGCATGGCAAACATTCGTCTCCAGGACCCGATCGGCTCCCATATAAAGCATGGCTTGCGCACCCGTCACTTGCTATTATCCTCCACTCTCTTCTTCTCTCGCTCTTTCACGGCCCGACGCCTCCCCCCACCCTCGACCGCAGCCTGTTTGCTTTCATTCCTGAAGGTGAGGAGGACCTCGACTCTGTAGACTGCACCCGCCAGCCTGGCCAGCTACGACCCCTCAGCTTGAAGAATTGTGATGCCAAGGCCGCGGCCACATGTATCAATAGACAGCTCAAGCGCATTGCTGGAAAAAAAAAAAAACTCACACCGTGCAGCAAGGCTTTGTTAACGGCAGAAACTTTACCAGACACATCGTTCGGCTTGACTCGTTGGCACGGGCCGCGAGCATAGGGGATGGCGCGGAGCAACGCAGACCCATCTTTGTCAGTTTCGATTTCAAAGCAGCTTCCCCCTGCATGAGTCAGATTTGGCTTGGCAAGGCTTTACGCAGATTTCGAATACCAGTCGCGTTTCGTTCAGCCATCAAGAGCCTGATGCACGAATCGATCGGATTCATGCGTGTCGGATCGGACGTTCGAGAGCTGTTCGCTCTCCGCTCTGGGGCCCCCCAAGGCTGCCCCCTTTCGGGAACCCTGTGGGCGCTAGGCATGGACCCCATCGTGCGACACCTAGTTTCCAGCCTTGAAGCCGCGGGAGGGAATAGCGAAGACCTCGGAGCTTGCGCGGACGACGTGGGTGCAGCTCTTCGTTCGATTGACCACCTCTGTGCTCTCCCCCCCTCCTTTGACGCTGCTGCTGCTCTTGCTGGCCCCCCCCTGCAACCGAAGAAGCGCTGTATCGCCCCGCTCTGGGGGCTCGCTGATCCACCAACGCGCCAGGC